TTAGGAGGCCGAGGAAGTCTCCTGTTTTGGTGCACCTTAGAGAGGAGGAAAAAGCGGTGCCCTGGCCAGGTGGGTCTTGCCTCGGGGTGGGGGAGCATGCGGTGACGAAGAGAGTCAGGCATACAGGGGGAGGAAGCAGGAAGAGAGACGCGGCCCTTCCAGATTTCGAGGAGGCGAGGATTCAAACCGGTTTCGCAACCGTTTCCGCAGCCCCCCTGAGTTCTCCAAGGTCTCAGTTGGCCGGCTTTGGACTTTGGACGCACAGCCAGCTCTGGATACCCCTCCCGGGGGACGCCTCTGTGTAGGGATGCCAGCCTCCAGGTGGGACCTGGGGATCCCCTGGAATTACAGTTTATCTCCAGACTAAAGCGATCAGCTCCCTTGGGGAAAATAGATTCTTTGGAGGGTGGACTCTATGGCATTTTACCCCACTGAATTCCATCCCCAAATCTTCAGGAGTTTCCAAACCTGGATTTGGCAACCCTACCTCTGGGACATGTGTTTGTCTCCCCGGCCTCCGTTTAGCCCTGACCAGTTGTAAAAGGGGCAGATAGATTATAATCCAGGGCTATTATGAGGGCGACAGGTTAGAAGGTGTGAATGTGTTTTGCGAAGGTGGGGGGAAGCCCGTTAAAAAGGATCAGAAAACGGTGGGTGTGATTGCTGCCAAGCCAGGTTTTTGTAATCTGGTGTGTATCTAAATGTGTACACACCCAGATTATTTCATTCCTTCTCTCTCCCCAGCAGATTACACTGTGACACCTTGTTTGCTCTCCACCTGGGCCCCACGTCCAACATCTCCCATGGGGGCCCAAAGGCCCCTCATTGTGCCCTGGCTGCTGGAACAGCTGGATGCCCAGCGATTTCCAGGGGTGTCATGGCTGAACCCGGAACGGACCAGGTTCCGAATACCGTGGAAGCATGGGTCTCGGCACAGTACCATCCCAGAAGATTTCCAGCTTTTTGAGGTAAAACTGTTGCCTGTGTGGAGTGTGGATGTGTCCCTACTCTTTTACGAACCACATACAAAATTATGTTTACCTCCAGTGATCTTCCACTGTTAAACTGCTGTTAAAAAAATAATGCCTAGCAAGTGTTCAAAGTGGTGCACGTAATCTGTTGAAATCTGTAAAGCCAGCTTTATTTAATAATGTATTCTCAATTTTAACTTCTCAATTTTAAGTTTTTATATTATGTATATTAGAATATTGTATATTTTGTTTTGGTTAATCAATAAAATATATATTTTTTAAAAGTATTGAGAGAGAGAATAAAACCAACACTAGTGTGGCTGTTGCCATGGAAATGATATTTTAATCTGCACAGCCAATCAAGACCTCCTGTAGCCAATCAGAAGTGCTGCCGGGCAAGAGCTCTACCTAGCCCCGCCGACTTGCTAGAAACACTTTGTGGGCTCCCATGGGTGCCACATTGTGGACCCCTGTCTTACAGGATAGGCACAGATGAAGGTTGGTTTTGAATACTGGTCTATGGGATGGAACCAAACTCCTTTCCTTGGCTGTCACAGCAAATTAGAAGTTTAGTTGAAGGCATCCCAAATCGGTAACTATGAACTTCCGGAATATACTGCAGCAAGATGTAATGACAGCTGCTAGTTAAGATGACTTTTTCCAAAAAGAACTGAAATAGACAAATTCATGGGGAACAGTTCTGTCGACAGTGATTGTGATAGCTGAACAACTTCCATGCTCAGAGACAGAACATCTCAGTATCTGGTGCTGGTGACAAACAGTAGGACAAGGAGATTGTTTTCGTGCTCTGCTTCTGAGATTTCAAAGGCTTCTGATTGGCTACTGATGAAAAGGGGTGGGCAGGATTTAAGAGCAGCCATGTTGGATAAGACTAATGGTCCATCTGGTCTAGCATCCTGTTTCACATAGTGGCCAACGAGATGCCCCTAGCAAGGTCTACAAGCAGGGCATAAAGTGCAAAGTTTCCTTTATTACTGTTCCCAGAATGAGTGTTTATCAGGCTACTGCCTCTGAACATGGAGGCTCCATTTAGCATCACAGCTAATAGCCATTGATAGATTTATCCTTCGTGAATTTGTTTATAGACTTGAAAAAAGTTCCTCTTCTTGCTCTAGGCTTGGGCCATTGCCAGCGGCCGCTTCGATCCAAGGACTGATCCCCGGACCCCTTCGGACTGGAAAAGAAACTTCCGCTCTGCCCTGAACCGAAAGCCAGAGATCAAACTGATAACTGATAACAGCACAGATTCGGAAGACCCTCACAAAGTGTTTGAAATCCAGCATCCTGTCGGTAAGAACAGTCTGGCCAGATATCTGGAAAAGGGTTTCTGATGGGAATCCAGACGGAGGAACAAATGCTGTAGGTGAGATGGAAAGCATCACTGTTTATGTATTATTTTCTCTCATAGGTCCAAATGACTATGCGCAGCCAGTGGCTGATGAAGTGCATGAAAACCTGGGGGCATGTGGAGACAGTTCACCTTCTTGCCAGGTCAGTCTCTCTCTTTCTCTCTCCCCCTCCTCCCTCCAACCAACCAGGGAATTGTGAAATACAAATAAAACGATGAATAAGAGGAGCTCAAAGGGGAGGAATAAGTGGGGGGGAGGAAGGGGGAAAGAATGAAGGACTTTGAGCCGTCTCCATCCTTTTCTTCAGGATGACTTACTAGAGAATGTGCTGAAGTCCCTGGACCTCTCCGGTTCTGAACAAGGTGAGCAATGTGGGGTCTGGTAGAAGGTTGGGTAGGATGCTGGAGAAATTAGGGGCCAAAAGAAGTCAGTGAAAAGTGTCTTGCATGCCACCTCCAAGATCTGATGGTGTGGCATAGTGGTTAGAGTGTCAGACTAGGATCTTGTAGACCCAGGTTCAAATCTTCACTCTACCACGGAAGCTCACTAGGATGACTTTCAACCAGTTACTTTCTTTCAGCCTAAACCTACTTCACTGGGTTGTTGTGAGGTTAAAATGGAGGAGAGGGGAATGATGTAAGCCACTTCGCATCCCTGTTGGGAAGAAAGGCAGTGTACAAAGTAGTAGAAGAAGAAGAGATTGGATTTATACCCCGCCCTTCACTACCCGAAGGAGTCTCAGAGCGGCTTACAATCTCCTCCCCCTCCCCACAACAGACATCCTGTGAGGTAGGTGAGGCTGAGAGAGCTCTGAGAGAACTGCTCATGAGAGAACAACTTTGAGAGAACTTGTCACTAACCCAAGGTCACACCAGCAGCCACATGTGGAGGAGTGGGGAATCAAACCCGGTTCTCCCAGATTAGAGTCCGTACACCTAACCACTACACCAAACTGTAAATAAATAAATAAATAGTAATGCATGCAGATGTACTGTTTTTCCATCAACATCTTGTGCCTGAAGCTTTTTGTAATGTTTTGGGGGGGGTGCAAGTGCTGTAGTGGAAGGAATGGTTGGTTGGTCACCTACGGATGGAGAAGATGGTTGGAGGAAGGCAGCTATAAGAAATCTGCATGAGGCAACATGTACATTTTTGGACAGGTCTCCTTACTCTTAGGAAAGTGTGTGTGTGGTCTGGAAGTCTTAGCACTGCACCGCAAAGCAGAGGCACACCATTCCAAAGCTATAGTGGAGCTCTGCTCACTGCACTGTAAATGGGACAGAAGTCCTGCTTCAGGGACCAGACTCTGTGCATTAGGAAGCACAAGAAACGGACCCCCGTCGGGAGAGAAGTTGGGCATGAATGGTGCAGCAAGGAGTAACATCTGTACAGTCTACCAAAGTTTGCGTCCGGTGGCATTTTTAAGAACAACAAAAGTTTAATTCTGGGTATAGGCTTCTGTGTGCGTGCACACTTCTTCAGATACCTGCACGAACTGCGCGTGCACATAAAAGCTTATACCCAGAATTAAACTTTGTTTGTCTCGAAGGTGCCACTGGGCTCATACTTTGTTCCGTTGCTTCAGACCAACATGGCTTCCCACCTGAATCTGGACATTCTGACATCCTCCCACCCCCTAGAGTCTTTCCGTCAAACTGCCAAGTGGGGGGAGTCCTGCATTCCACCCCCATTGTATTCTTTGCCCTCCAAGGGGATCCCAGAGTCTTGATCTTTAGTGCCGCCTGCCCCAGTGCACTAGATCCAGGGGTCATTTCCTGCAGGAGCGCACAGGAGCGGAGCTCTGGCAGTAAAGAGCCCAGGGGGTGGGCACATGCAACAAGCCACACACCCTGCTCCCAGCAGCCCTCAGTCAGAGCAAGAAGCAGCCAGGTAAGTTGCAGAGCTCCCCCCGGCCCAAAGCAGTCCAGTGACACCTTTAAGACCAAGTTTTATTCAGGTACAAGCTCTCCTTCCTCTGTGAGGACAGATCTGCACGTTCTCGCCCCCCCCCCCAATAGCTAGCAATCCAAAGCAGTCCAGTGGCGCCTGAGCGGTGGGTGTTGCCTTCTGACACACTTCCGGTGATGTCAGGGGGTGTGGCGTATGCAAATAAGTTATGCTAATGCGTTGTGCTAATGAGCTCCTGCACCTCTTTTTCTACAAAATGACCCCTGACTAGATCACTCTTCTTTCCCCAAGGAATCCAAAACTGCTGTGTGCTAAAGGCCCCCAGGTACAGAGCTCTGCATTATGTTGCTCCCCAAACATTTATGTTGTCTTTCTCTCTCCTGCAATAGATTCAAGTGGGTAGCCCTGTTGGTCTGAAGTAGCAGAACAATGTTTGAGTCCAGTGGCACCTTTAAGACCAGCCCAGGAAGCTTAGCCACACTCCAGGACCCAGGGTATACGCCAAATATCCACAACTTTCCTTAGGAGAGAGAACAGGAAAGATTTGTTTGACAAATGGAAGAAATGTCAGTACTCCACACAAGACTCCCAACACAAATACAAAACAAAAAAAGACACCTAGGCTGCGGTCACATGGAGCATTAGCCACGCTACAGAGACGGAAGATAGGTAGATTTTCCGGGCGCGATCACACCGCAACTTCTGGGAAGCGTTGAGCTCCCGTGGCGAACCCGAGGCTTCCCGCCGAAGATGCGGAGTTAAAAACTAGTACCCCTGAGGTACTAGTTTCCGGAAACCACGGGGCAAGGGCTGGCGTCTGATCGCGTTTCCGGTGGTGGCATCCGGCGCCCGCCCATGTCCCTTCGCAAACAGGTTTTTCCCCCCCACGTCTCCACAAGATGCGCACAAGCACCCAACGGCGCATGCGCACAAAGAGGAAAGCGAAAGTGCCGTTTCGGCTTAGAAAAAATAAATGACCCCGTTTGTCACGGCAGCGGCCCCTAGCCATTGCTGGTGTGATCATGCCATGCCGCTTCTTCGCCATGCTGCAGAATTGTCGTGTGATCGCCGGGGCAATTAGCCACGCCTCCCCCCCGCGCGATATCCGGTCCATGTGACCGGGGCCCTTGATAGGCTTACCTACACTTTCCCCTAAAAGAAAGGTTTTCCTTCAGGCAAAAATCTTCCACACAGGAATGAAGAAACTTTCAGTCTTGACAAACAAAGGGCACTTCCGCATTGACATTTTTGTCACTCATTTGTCCCTGTTGCTTTGGGTTTCCCATCCCTTCTCCACATGTGTTTTGCTCCCTCTGGGACTGTTCCCTCTAAGTCTTGTGCAGCAAAAATCCTACCTCGTGAGCTGCTGGCATTAAAGTTGTGGCCGAGCGATTTGGCCGCTGCACAAATTAGTTTGCTCTGGAGTCATCCGGAGGCTAAAAAACTATGAGCTAGCTCACACTAACTCAGCTTAGAGGAAACACTGCTAGAGAGGACAAAACACATTTTGGGGTGGTGGTGGAAGAAACCCTGAAGCAATAGGGACAAACGAGTGACAAAAATGACAATGCGGAAGTAGAAACCATACCGAAGCCAGTTTCAGCTGCTAGAGACCCACCCTCCACCATTGTGTGGAACCTGGCTTTTGCTTGCCAATTACACTGTTATCTCCAAACTAACAAAATAACGATTTAACAAGGTTGACCTTTTCAAATTGACAAGCAAAGGCTTCCTTCTTAACAAAAACCACATGATAATTTCTCCATTTGCCAGAAGTATCCAGCTCTTCTAAACAGGAACAAAAATTAAACGGGGAGGGAGCCGTTAAACCTAGGCTTCAGAATGGGACACCCAATGTTCATAACAATCACTAAAAATTCATTCACTCAACAGAGAGGAGTCCAGGGCTGCTCACACTTTTCTGACCGTACAGAGATCTGTTAGAAAACGTGCTACCAACAACCAAACCGCGAAGGCAGCAAGGGTTTGGTGGGAAGGACTGGCAAGAAGAACCCCGCACCCCAGACCCCCACTCCACCCCATGTTCCATGTCCTCCAAAGGAATCTAGGAAACCTCTTCTTCAGCACGATCCATGGTTCATGTGCTAGGTCACTCTTTAATTCCCGAACTCTTGCGTTTGTCAGTTCTCAAGCGTTCTGTTGTCTTTCTTTCTTCCACAATGTTCCATATTCTGTGCCAGGAGCAGAAAACCCAGCTTACTATGCCGCCCTGTCCCCATCTGGTTTGGATCTGACTCCGCTGACAGTCCCAATGATACCGTTGGAACCAGCCTTTTGCGCCAATAATTTTGGTAGGCTTCTTGAATCTGGAGGATATATCTCACACACCCCTACTGTGTTCAATCATTCTGCCACCCCTTTCTCCCTCTAGAGTAAGTGGTCTTCAGTATTCCAGGCCCAGGAGCCATCTTTAGTAGGGGTGTGCAAAAAAAAAAAAAATTGGCCCGATTCGGATTTGGCAGAGTCGGACAGAATCAATGGCAGAAAGACTTCTGCATGTCAATTTCGGCAGTAGGAGCTCATTGGAGAGTCTTTCAGCCAGCCGAATGTCAATTTTTGCCCCATTATATCCTATGGGCCTTGAAGTCAATGGCGAAAACATAGGGTATATTCTGGGGGCTGGAGGGGAGGGGTTTGAGGGAGAGGCTACAAACTCACAGGGTAGCTGCTGGGGCCTCTCCCCAAGATACCCACCATGTTTCAAGAACATTGAACCAGGAGGTCCAGTTCTATGGGTCCCCAAACAGGTTGCCCCTATCACCTCCATTGTTCTCTGTGGTGGGATAAAAGTAACTTCCACAATATTCCCTTTCCCCCCCACCATAGTTACTTTTTCTTCCCACCATAGAGAACAATGGAGGGAATAGGGACAGCCTGTTTGGGTGGCCAGCAGGCCTGGAGAAAAATGCCCTGTCCCTTGAATAGAGGTTTATTGCATGAAAATGGACAGTGGAAGATTTTCACAGCATAGAGGTAAATAACATCTCATGATGCCTTTATTAAATTGACATTTAATACAGGCATTTTTCTCCAGCCCTGTAGATCAGTGTAGTTCTCAAGTACTCTGTTGTCTTTTTTTCCTGTTCTCTGTTCAGTGCAAGCAGCAGATAACACAGCTTCCTGTGTAGGCCTGCCTCCATCTGGTTTGGATCAGGCCCCACCAGCAACCCCACTGCTCCCATTGCAGCAGATCATGGAATCCAGTGTGTTAGGTAAGCTTTTTGGATGCAGGCCCTCTTGTGGCCAAAACTGAGATTGCATCTAAAGCTACTGCCACCATTTCCTTTTTGTACTTCAGGGTTTTCGGCCCTTTGGTCCAGGGGCCAACCTCTAACCCTAAGGATAGGGTTACCAGCTCTGGGTTGGGAAATACCTGGAGATTTGGGGGGTGGAGCCTGGGGAGGGCAGGGTTTGGGGAGGGGGAGGGACCTCAACAGTGTATAATGTCATAGAGTCCTCCCTCCAAATCAGCCATTTTCTCCAGAGGAACTGATCATTATTTCCTGGAGATCAGTTGTAATAGAAGGAGATCTCCAGGTGCCACCTGGAGATTGGATAACCTACCTAAGGACCTGTTCATAATTTTGTGATGCACTCTTTTCTCCCTCCTCTCTAGGGTTGCCAAATCCTACCTTTGTAATAGGGGGGGGAGTTGGGGGCAGACAACGTCACACGCTTTGGGGATGGGGTCCCCCCCGGCGGCTCAATCCCCGCCGGCGGGGAACGAGTCCTTCGGGCAGGGTTTCCCCACCCCCCGGGGGGACTTGGCAACCCTTGTCCTCTCTTCATCCCTTTAGGGAGCCAGTATCGTGCAGTGGTTAGGGTATCATACTAAGATCTGGGAGAGCCAAGTTCAAATCCATGCTCTGCCATGGGTGACCTTGGGTCAGTCACAGTCTCAGCCTTACCCACCTCACAGGGTTGTTGTTGTGAGGATAAATTGGGGATGGGAAAACCATGTATGCTGTTCTGAGCTCCGTGAAGGAAGAGTGGGATCAATAGACCTTCTGTGGCTCACTGCCTAGTTCCCCCCAGCTAGGATTTCATCATGAATTGAGCAGCAGCCATTTCCCCCCCCCTCTCACCCCACCACACACCAGACAAAAAAAAAGTGGAGTTTTTTTAGGAAGGGGCAGTGTAGTTCTGAAAGAACAATTTTTTGCCCTTCAAACATTCAGGTCTTCTGCACTAAGGCGGTCCGATTCCCAGTTCTGAAGATTTTCTCCTACTGTTTGGAAATGTCATGGAATGTGACTCTAAGCAGTGAAGCATGCGCATGCGTGCGAGGAAATGCACGGACATAGTCCTGCATGCATGAATTATAATTGCATACCAGTGTGCAGTTCCAAGTTTTCCTTGTAAAAAGGCCCGAGGCAATCTTGTAGGCTACATAAAGGCGCAATCGGGACTGTTAGAGGAAGGTGACATTGAATGATTTCACTCTTTTGACTGAGGGTGGGGAGATAGAGTGGCACAGTGGCAAAATGCCTGTTTCTGGCCCTTTGTTTTCCCAAGAATAATGTTGCCAGTGCCTGAACAAGTCGAGGTATGAATAGCTTTATCCTGTGGAGGAATAATGAAAGGTACCACTGCATGTAATGATGCAAGACACAGGAAAGGTTTTCACCTATTCCCCCAAACCCCTGTCCCTTCTGTTCTTCAGAAACAGATTTCGAAGTGCGGGCCTATTATCGAGGTCGGCTGGTCTTCAACGACACATTCAGCAACGTACGGGGCTTGTGCTTCTTGCCTCCCGGATCCCAGGTCCCTTATCCGGATTTGGCCGCTGTGGTGTTGCCTGACGCTGCTATCTTGAACGACCAGATGCAAGCGACATTAACCAGTCGCATTCTGCACCGCTTGGCCCCCGGGGTGCTGCTTCGCATCGAGGGTCCGTTGCTCTGCGGCAGCCGGCTGGGCCGTTGCCATGTCTTCTGGAGCCAGTCTGAGACGCCCACTGCTGGAATGCGTTGTGGAGGGCTCCCCAAGGAACACCTTGGCCCCATTTACAGCCTGCAGCAGTTTGTGCAAGGTGTGGTGGTATGGCTTCTAACCTTCTGGGGGCTGAGCACATGAAGCTGCCTGATACTGAATCAGACCCTGGGCCCAACTAAGGCTGCGGTAATGCTGGAGGCTCGGCACGATCTGGCCACACCTCTATTTGCGGAGGTTTAAATAGTTGTGGGAAGTTTTGATCAGACATCCTACCCTGAACCAGCTTCACTGAGCACTCGCCCCATGGTTGGTCTTAAAAACACAATCCTAAATAGTCCACAAACACAAGCCCTCCAAAGGGAAAAAAATACCGTCCAGTATACTCCAACGGTATCGTACATGATATTCAGACCATTTCAAAGAGAATCCTTCATCAAAGGATATATTGAGTCAAGGTAGGTACAATGACCATGCAGAAATCTCAATTCTGTTTTCCATCAAGTGGAGTCCAAAGCCTCTTAACAAATTCACAACCCAATGGTATCAACTCTAGCAGGCAAATAAGGAAAGCTTGTGTTTGTGGACTATTTAGGATTGTGTTTCTTTAAGAATTAGCGTTCTGTGGCTTGTGAGACTTTATGATGTGCATTACATTTTCTTGAAGCATTGTGTTTATATATTCAGAATATTTAATCTATTTCTATGAGCATCACTACTTGTCTTTGAAAAAAAAATTGGGGGGGAGTTTTATCTTTTCATTTGTAATCTTAAAATGGTTAGTTGTTATAGATTTTCCAGGCTGTATGGCCGTAGTCTTGGCATTGTAGGACCTGACGTTTCACGAACAGGTGTGACTGGTGTCCTTAGAGGTATAACACAGAAAGATGGAGTACTCTCTGTGTCGACAGAGTACCCACCTTGACACAGAGAGTACTCCATCTTTCTGTGTTATACCTCTAAGGACACCAGTCACACCTGTTCGTGAAACGTCAGGTCCTACAATGCCAGGACCACGGCCATACAGCCCAGGAAATCTACAACAGCTAATGATCTCCGGCTGTGAAAGCCTTCGACAACATAATCATAAAATGGGCATTGCAAGACCCCGCGCTGCTCCAGATTGCTGCTGAGCGGGCCTTAAGAACATAAGAGATGCCAATGTTGGATCAGGCCAAAGGCCCATCCAGTCCAACACTTTGTGTCACACAGTGTCCAGAAATACCAGTGCCATCAGGAGGTCCACCAGTGGGGCCAGGACATTAGAAGCCCCCCCCCTTGACCCCCCCCCCAGCACCAAGATGACAGAGCATCACTTGCCCCAGAGTCCCTATCTATACCTTGTGGCTAATAGCCACTGATGGACCTCTGCTCCATATGCTTATCTAATTCCCTTTTGAAGCTGTCCATGCTTGTAGCCGCCACAACTTCCTGTGGCAGTGAATTCCATGTGTTAATCACTCTTTGGGTGAAGAAGTACTTCCTTTGCCTTCCTGTGCTAATGAGTGGCTGCGAACACTGTTTGTCATTCCTCTTAACGAGCAAAGGGAACCATGGCCTGATGGCACCCCAGTAGGAGGAATAGCACTCTGAAGGCCGCTGATCATTTAAAGGTTATCAGTACAAGGTCTGATGTGACTTACAACCAAAGAGGAATTCTCCATAATACTCTTGCATTATGCTGTGGAGGGGGGGGCAGTTTTGGAACAAAAGGCACTCCCTTTTGCAACAGCGGAGGGAGATTTCTTTGTCCAGCCACCAACTAAAGCATGACATCTTCCTCTGGTGGAACAACGGGGAGCAGAGAAAAATACAGTTTCCCCCCCCTCTCCCACTCCAGAACTGATTGGATTCATGGAGGGACGCCGTGGCTCCCCTGACTATACCCTGTGGTTTTGCTTCGGGGAGGATTGGCCTGACCCCGACCCCACACGCCTTTGGAAGAAAAAACTGATCATGGTGCAGGTACGTGTCTTCAGGTCTGCCCCTCCTCATCTGCTCCTCCCACTTTTGTAAGGAAACATCTACAGGTGCAGACTCAGTCAAATTTAACGTGGATTAATAACCCAGCTCCAGGGAGAATGTCTGGAGGAAGACAAACGTGAGGGTAAACTTGTTGTAAGGATGGCAACGCCCGCTTCATGCTTGTATCTTCCTCACATAGCAGATAATTTAATGAACTCTTGTGGATATGCTGCTAAAACGATGGGCCAGATTTTCAGAGCGCTCTGCGATACACTGAGGGTTCTGACAGATAAGGCCCAATGGGGGAAGATACAAACATCTGTGAGGGACTTCTGCCCTCCCTGGAAATTGCCGTCCTCTTTATCCTACCTGTGCTGTAGGGCATGTATATCTGCTGGGGGGGACCAATAAACAGCTGTCCCACCAGCATTTTTCTCAGGGGGAACAAAGATATAACAAGTAGAGAGGTAACAAAAAGCAGTTTTTACTTCTTACTTTACTTACTTTACAATCTTATGGTTCAGCATATAAGAACCTAATCCCAATATAAAGACAAATGTTTCAAAACATTTTGCATCTTGATGAGTTGCCCCTGTTGTATCACAGGAAAATCTGATATCACTTACTCCACGGGTGAACACCTTAGTGTAAGGTCCATTCTTTGTATGGTCAATTTTCCATATGTTATTGTTCAATTAATGGAGTGCTGAGTTTGACTTATACTGCTGTGGAAGGCCTGGGGCCGAAACGCATTGGGTATTGGTTGGTTCTTTCATATGGAGACAATATGTACTTTTAAAGCTGTATTTTTGTAAATGGACATTTGCCTTTATATTGGGATTAGGTACTTAAGATATTGAACCATTTTTGTTTTTAACTATTTTAGTAGTTCTGGAGCATTATTAAATTATATACTGGTGTTTTGTACACTTGTACTACATGCATGGTTATATTTTGCTGCCTTTTTCTTTGTTTCAACTATTTTGGTTACTGTCCTTGCACAGAGTTGTGTTTTTCTCTCCTTTTTTGGTTGTACTCATGGAAAGACTAGCCCCAACTGATGTGACGTTTTCCTCTGAAGGTTATCTAGAGGGCAGCAAGTGCTTCAGGGATAGGCACAGTGGCCACATCTTTCCATAGAGATAAAAGTTGGCTTCTAGTAAGTAGGACCCTAGCCCTGGGTCATTGCCATTACTGCCAAATGACTGACGCTGTGCATTATGTCCCTGTATGCTGTCCCAGTGCTAATGAGTTATGGGTGGTGGATGTGGGAGGGTGGGCTTCAGGAAGACACTTTAAGGAAGTACTCTAAGAGTGTTAATGTTTTAAGCATATTTGTATTTTGAGTTAAAAACAGGTGTTTCTCTTTGGGTGGAAATCCACAGACCCCCATCTCCACTGCACTATGGGGCCCGGAGTCCTTGCTTCCAGGATCATCACCCCCCCCCACCCCCGCAGATTAGATCTTCTCCATACTCAGCTTGTGCTGAAGCTCAGCTGTTGCTGTCCCACATTCAGTCTTCTGCCGTGCTGTTCTCCAGCCAGAACAGTTTCCCGGACAACCTTCCCCCCACCACTTTATTTGTATTTCTGCAGCAGCCTGGCTGTTCTGTCAGTCGCTTATTCCAGCATCCCCTTCGCCAGTTTGAGCTGTCTGGATAGCCACACAAGAAAGCCATTAGTCTGGCTTATGCCGCATGTTCTGTTGCACCAGACTACGAAAGCCACCCCTCTGGAATCGAACAGTGTGTGTGTGTGACTTGGGGAATGAACAGCCACAGAAAAATAGTCCTCTATTCGCAGAGGGGCTGTTTTCAGTTTACAAAGGCCAGAGGCCTCGCTTCCATGAAACTCTGAGGTTAGTTGAGAACAGAGCACAAACTCCATTAATTCCTGAAACTGCAGAGCCTTGTTCTCCCACAAAGTGCATCAACTTTATACTCGGTGCATAACAGGTTTCCACCTTTGTCTCAGAGCTGCAGGGCAGAAAGGTGCGCGTGGGGGGAGGCGGCAGCTTCTAGAGTAGCAACTTAGCCTGATTGCAGCAAACACCAGCGTCACTGTGATGAACTGACGTTTCATAGACTGGAATGCAAATTGTGAACTGCATGGAGTGTCTTCAGATGTATGGCATCCTCTATTGGCAGATTATGTGGGTAAATGCGGGGCGGGGCAGGGACTCAAACAAGGACTAAAAGGCTATGAATTTAACAGTAAGTCTGTCTTTTCTATGGAAAGCCAAAATGTGTACAAGAGAAACACAAGAACTGCAGCCATCAAGGTTCCCACTGGATCAGAGCAGTGTTTCCTCTTGTTCAGAAGCCTGTCTCACACTGGCCAACCAGTTACTTCAGAAGGCCAATGAACAGGGCACAGAGGCCAAGGCCTTCCCCAATGATGACTCCTGGCACTGGACTTCAGAGATTGGCTGCCTTGGAATGCGGAGGTTCCATTTTATCACTATGGCTACTAGCCGCTGAGGGACATCTGCATCAGCCTGTCTGATCCCCTTTTAAAGCTGCGTACGGTTACAGCTGGGGCCGCGGTGGCTCAGAGGTTAAGACGCTGAGCTGCAGACCGGAAGGTCTGTAGTTCAGCAATTCGAGACCCCAGTGTTGCGGGACGGAGTGAGCTCCCATCTCTGGCCCCAGCTCCTGCCAACCCAGCAGGTCAAAAGCAGGAAATTGCAAGTAGATAAATAGGTACCACTTCGGTGGGAAGGTAACAGCGTTCCATGCACCTCGGTGTTTAGTCATGCTGGCCACATGACCACAGCGACGTCTCCGGACAGCGCTGGCTCTTTGGCTTGGAAACGGAGATGAACACCGCCCCCAAGAGTCAGATTCGACTGGCTTTCAAGCAAGGGAGACCTTTACCTTTACGGTAACAGCCATCGCTACATCCGCTGGCAATGAAAAGCTATGTTTTGATTCTGCATAGAAGTAACAGGCCTGTTGCTCCTCACTGCATCCCACAGCTGCTCAACCCCCCCCCCAAAAAAAAATTACCCACATATCAACCAACAGAATATCCTACATGATAACATGAACTCGGTCTATGAAAAACTTAATACTGCAGTACCAAAATCTTTGATGCTTCAGCACTTTGAATGGGAATTCAGTTTCTCCTCATTTTATTACCCCCATTCAGGTCATCCCCAAGGTTTTTGAAACACTCCACGAACTGAGCAAGGCGAGCGGGGCGTCGTCGCTAAATGGAGCCGAACCAGACCTGAGGATATCGGACTCGCTGCAGGACCCTTCCTTATTGGAGCGACTGAGAGACTGGGAGGGGAGGATGGATGTGCAGTTCAGCAGCTAACCTCACAAGCCACGGCTGTTTCAGTCACACTGGGCGCTCTTCCTTTGGGCCCTTCGCATCACCTGTGCCTTCAGGAAGGGCCTGTTCAGCCACCTGAGCTGCAGCCCACCCACCCCTTAAGGTGATGACCACTGTTCCTTAGTCATTCTTCCTGTGGGGCAGTTGATTTTACTCAGAGCAACTCAGTATAAATTTGTCTCACCTTCAGAATTACCACATTAATAATCCTCACTGCACTGTCTGAAGCCAAGCATAGGCAAAGCCACTTTCTTTAACTGTTCCAAGTTACGCTGTAATTTTCTTTTTACGACTACTTCTGTTGTTTGCACTCAGGGTGTGTTCAGGGCAATGGAAAGGTACAGAAAAGTCTGGTCACAAATCTCAGCTCTTGTTTATTTCAAGCCCTTGGTACTATGCCCCCCCCCCAAAAAAAAAAAACCTTTCTTGCTTGCTTTTAAGGTTCTTCGTTTTTCTTGATTCTGCCTGGCTCTGATTCCATTTCCCCTTTTCTTTTTTTTTCTGCTCAGTTTACCGTTTTGGCTCAACTTCCCCTTTCTTCTGCACTGTCGGCTGTTCCAAGTTGTTGCTTCCTTCTGTTGAGGGGCGTTTTAAGAAAACCTACGTGTTCCGTGCTGCATTTTCTTCAGTAAACTCTTTAAGCTGTTAGAGGTTGGGCTCAGAATTCGTTTTTTACCGATTTCCTTTTGGTTCCCCCCCAACCCTCGCCCTTCCCCATCTGTTCCCTTACTCTTCAAACTCATGTTGATCCATTTTAAACTGTGAGCCTGCAAGCAGCCAGTTCTGAACCTACTGTACACGGGCCCCCGGTAGAGGCGACCGGACGGATTCGCAGTTTCAACCCACAATTTGGAGGAAAGAACAAGAAAACAGTTGAAAGGAGTTTGGTTTAGTGTAATAGCCCCAAATAGCAATAGGACAGAAAAACAAGGGCTTAAACAGCTATTGTTCTCCTCCTGCATCCTATTTAAGTTCCTTTTACCAGGAACCACAACAATAACCCAGCTGCCTTGAAGTCCAGCTTTCTTCTTCCCTATAGCACACTGGATGCCTGCATGCCCAGCTGGTGGAAGCTGCGCCCTGAAGACCCCATTTCTTCCCCTACCCTGCATTTTAAATCAAAATCCTGCTTCTCACCATCCCTCTTCTGTCAGCACTCAGTCACACACACACCCCGACTGCTACTGAACACTTAGAACATCGAACTCCACCTGCGTTGCCAGGCTTACTGTCTTCTAGCCATATGCTAACCCACACCTGCCGCCCCCACCTTCCAGACCCATATTTACTCCGTCTGGGCTGGTTCAAGGGTTTTTTGTTACCCCAAGCAAGATGCACCCCCACGCAAGACTAGCTGGGCCCCGCTAGTCCATTAGCACCCTCTGTGTGATGTCACCCTGTCCAGTGGCTTAACCATAGAACGAGGTCCCAAGCTCCTCTAATGCCGGCCGTGAAATTGGTGTGCTCCTCCTCACGGCGGGAGTGGGGGGGGGGGGGGAGAGAGGTATCCGATTCAGAATGTGAAAATGGGGGCACAGAAGTCGAGTCTGGCTCATTCTCTCCCTGGCCCCTTCTGCCATGTAACCCCACCCTGTCCCGTTGTCACCCAAGATTCTTGGATCTGTGCCTACTTCCCACCTCAAGTTTAAAAAAAAATATTAAAAAGCTGGAATTGCAAATACTTGGCCCCAAGAATGGCAAAGGCCTCCTGCTGTGTGTGTGTGTGTTTGTGTGAGTGTGAGAGAGTGAGAAGAACTAATCAGACAACCAGGCTGTGACGAAATGGCTGCCAGGCCTTAAAACGGATACCAGCCTGGTAGTTCCTTATGTGTGTGTGGGGGTACTCCATAGGGAACAATGGAGCTGCCATACCTCCCTGCCTACACTTCCCAGCATCCCTTGGGGGGAAAGAGCGGGAAAAGAGGGACAGAGCCAAGAGGTGGGGCCAGGGAGAGAGTGACTGTTTGGCTCCTGGCAGGCTTAAGGAAGAGCGCAGGTGGGACTCCTGTCACCAGAGACTCTGAGGGCAATCCAGGCCACTATTGACCGTGGTGGAGAGCCAGGAGGGTGGCAGTGCTGGTGGCCAGTCCCGTGGAGAAGGGCTGGAGTTTCTCTCCACAACCGGAGAGGAAAACGCAAATCCTGGCCTGAGGCCGCAATCCACTACCGAGGTAGAGAGGGTGTGTGGTAGGGACAGAAGACTTGCGTTTCGATCCTGTTTGTTTTGTGTGCCCAGGTTGTGTTGAAGTGCCTGAGTTTATTTTCTATGCCCAAAAATGTATATAGTTCAATAAATCTTCCTTTGTTGAGGTTAAAAAGCCTGGTGTGCCTCAACCACCTAGACTCCCCCGCTCTACACGTTACCAGGGGCAAAGGGAGGCCGGGGGACTCAAACGGGCCTAAAACTGGTGGGTTGCCAACCCTCCAGGGGGCGCCCAAACATTGAGATAACCACTTCCCGAGGTGGGAAAGTTAGCCAGAGGGGTCTCACTGTCCCTCAAGGAAGGCGGTGACTTAATTCAGTGAGTGGTGGCAGCCGGAACGAAGAGGAATAGCCCCACCAGGTAGGGTGGGAAGGACAAAACGGGGCCTTGCAAGCCACAGGACGGCACCTCGGTTCCCCAGGGCTGAGGGTGGGTCCCCGTTTCGCCACACAGGCAATGCTCTGTAGCGAGCTCAAGAATGGTGAGGAAAGAAGGGGCCCTGACCTGGATAGCCCAGGCAAGCCCGATCTCCTCAAGCCACCTCTGAACATCCCTTTGCCTTCAAGCCCCACCAGGGGTCGCCAGAAGACGACTTGATGGCAAAAAAAGAAGACGAAAGAGTGGTGAGGAAAGGGAAGTGTGCAAAAGTAGTCTACTGCAGTCAGGGGCCCCAAGGCACAAGGGAGCTCCCATTCCCTCCCGTAAAGTGAGACAGTTATGCTGCACACACACACACCCCGCAATCCCAGGAGCCTTCATACAGCGTTGGGACGACCTCTAGGACTGGAGGGGGGCCACTTGCAAAACACCTGGTAGCTGTGAGGAAACTTTTGGGAGGGGGATTAAAGCAGCAGATGCAATCGGGCTTCCTGTGAAGAGTTCTGCAGGAGGGAGGGGTGGAGGGGGGGCGATCACTGCCCACAAGGGCCAAGAAGTCCTCCGCCAAACCAACGCAACACACTGGCCTAAAAGGATCACAGAGATGAGCCGGGTTTTAGATGGCTAAATGCAGTTTTATGAGGAGAAAGGGAAATAAGAGGAGGGTGGGGGAGAGTATGACAGACAAACTTACAACTGCGGGAGGGGGTGTTGCCCAACCTTGGCAAGAAGTTGCCGTCTATCACCCGGTTGTGGTACTGCTGTTTTCTCAGCTGCTGGAGGTGGGGAGGGAGGGCAAGAATAAAACCGTCAAATTAAAACATGCTAAATGAGTAAAAACTAGGTGGGGGGGGGGAGAAGGAAGAACATCCACCGATTCATCGTGGGGGATTCCAGAGCGGTGGAACTAAAAATTAGTCCCATTCATTTCCATCTTGTATTTACAGGGTAAAACACACGTCGATTTTGTGGCTAAAAGCTGAAAGTGTTGGAGGGGGGGAAGGAGAGGGGGGTCAAGGGGCAGGTAGCAGATGAACAAGAACTGCATTCTCCAAATGCCACCCCTCCCAAACAACAAAAAAAAAAACACGAGTCATCCCAACCCTTCCATCCACACCCCACAGTAACGGGGCGGGGGGTTCGGGAGCTCAGCCAAGCCTATTTGCATAAAAGGGCCCCATTTTGATTTTGATTTCTTCCACGTCAGAGGAGATCAGAGTGGGGGCATGGGCAAGCCAGACTTGTCCAACCCCCCCATTTCCTTGGGGAAGCCTGGCTCCTCATCCATCTTGCGCCCGTGTTTTCGAAAGTACTTGTATCGCTGGACGTAGGCCTTCACTAGGTTGTTCACCTTGACTGGATTGATTTCTCCACTCTTGCTGTGGCAGATCTAGACGGGAGCAGAAAAGGAGGGGGTTAACACTTTGCCCCTTGTGGTCCCCTGCTCCCAATTCCCCCCACACACATACACACACACCCCTTCTAACCTTGTGGACGGCTTTGCGCAGGATATCTTTATATTCCTCCTTGGTGATCTCCTTTTTCTGGTAATAGGGTTTAATCGCCAGTTTCACCTCCTCCACAGCCCGCTCTTGGGTGTGAAGCTTCTTCAGGTACTGAAGTGAAGCAGGGACAAATTAGTGGGAAACGGGAATGTCATGAAGAGCGAGTCTCAGATAAACGGGCCATATAGGGAGCAACTCTGGCCTAGCCAAGCCCTGTTTTCTTCCAAGCCTTTCAGGACTTCTGCCCATCCAGTAGATTTTTATCCCGCCCCTCCTCCAAGGACCTTAGGACAGTGCATAGTTTATGCAACTTCCCTAATTTTATCCTCACCACCATCCTGTGAGGTAAATTAGTGAGAGAGAGACTGGCCCAAAATCCCCCAGAGGAGTTCATGCCAAACTGGAGTCTCCATTTTGTCCTGACGCTAAATAAACCCTCCCCTTAGCTCAGCCTTCATCAACTCCTTGAGAGGGGCTGTGGTTCTGTGTAAGAGCATCCGCTTGGCATGCAGATGGTCCCAGGTTCAGTTAAAAGTAACTGGTGAGAGGTGATGTGAAAGACCTTTGCCTGAGACCCAGGAGGAGAGCCACCTCTGGTCTGAGCGGACAATATTGACTTCCATGGGCCAAGGGTCTGATCCAGTATAAGGCATTTTCATGTGTTCATGTACACATTACAGCATCCCCTTACTGGAGTAACTGACAAGGATTCAGAAATAATTTTCTCATGCATATGAAAAACTGGGTTGTTCCTTGCCCAAAAACTGGGGTATTACTCTTTAGAGGCTTATGGAAGTTGCCTTTCTTAACTTAGTTCCCACCTTTATGACTTACAGCATGGAACCGGCTTTTGATATTTTTTTTAAACTAGAGATGGTCATCTCCCTGTTTCTCCTTGTGGTAGCCAAATTAAAGACAGGACCCAGCCCCTATATTTTAAATAGCAACAGAGGATAGCAAATTTTGGTAGATCCAGTTGCCCAGCAAGGGGTGGTGGTGGTATAGCTGCACTGGCTCAGATACTCCTTCTCTACGCAATCAGCTGCCATGGGCCCCGCAGTCAAGGGGACACGCTGGGACCCACCGCTGCCTTGAAGCCCCCGCCACCGTTGAGTCACCGCTGATCCCCCATATTGCCCAAGATACAGGCAGAAGGGGAGGCAATCAGCTGTAGGATGGTGGGGGGCCCTAACCGCCTTACAGCTGTCCCCCTGTGCTTCGTTAGGCAGTTTCGAGGGTGATTAACTGTAGGGTAGTTAGGCCCCCCCTGACTTGATACCTGAGTGGTCCTGTGGCCCCATTCTTGAGTTTTGTCCCAAGCTCCAGAATCACTAAAACTGCCCAATGACTATGGGAACACTCAGACCCCCTTTGCCTCTGGTCGCTCTCCCTCCATTGAATCATAGAGTTGGAAGAGACCTCCAGGGTCATCTAATCCAATGCCCTGCACAATGCAGGAAATTCACAAATACCTCCCCACCACCACCACCCCTGGTGACTGCTGTTGCACGCACAGAAGATGACAAAAAAACCTCCAAGGATCTCCTGCCAAACTGGCCTGGAGAAAAATTGCTTCCCGACCCCAAAGTGGCAATCGGCATTTCCCTGGGCGTGTAAGAAAGGGCCACAAGAACTAAGCACTGAAGCAACCCTTCCTGCCCTCCCTCTCATGATCTGCCTACGCTCACAGAATCAGCATTGCTTTCAGATGGCCATCTAGCCTTTGTTTGAAAACCTCCAAAGAAGGAGAGCCCATCACCTCCCAAGAAAGCCTATTCCACTGAGGAACTGCTCTAACTGTATTAAACTAATCACTCTGTTAAACTACATGAAGGGTGGGAATGCCACTACTGCACCCAACCTTAGACTGTGATGCAACCCCCTGCTGTGGAACTCACCCCCACCCACCCCAAATGAAGACTGATCACAAAGCAAGCAGCATCCCCTGTCTGGAGGGCGGCAAGTCCTGAACCAAAAAGTTCCGAGAGATTTTAAACTGCAGCTGCACACCCTCCAGGGACAACTGTTCTCCTATTCCTAACAATTCCGTATCGTTTTGTTACCTTATCACTGTCTCCGCGCCCATCAGAGCTGGTGCTGCCCAGATCGGTGCCCGACGAGGAAGCAAAGATGCCAGCCGAGGGAGGGCCTACCGGAGTCTGGCTCAAAGACCCCGGCAACACCCCTGTAGGGGTGGGGGGCGTTGAGCCACATCCTCCCATAGGCAAGGAGCTCTGAAGCAGGTATGAGACGGGTGGCGTGGCCAGGTGCGACGCAGGCGGGTGGGCGGGCGGTGCCGGTGGTTGGGGAGGCCCCAAGGAGGTCGAAGGCTTGGTGTGGGTCAGGATCTAAGGAGGAAAAAGAGCAGGGGAGCGTGGTTAAAATGGAAAAAGCGAGAGAGATCCTCGCGCCATTACTTAGATGCCAGCCATGGTGGCACACCGCATGTCTTTGTTGTCCGCGCTTCGAAGCTCAATCCGGGAATGCCTGGCCCTAAGTGGGAAACCTGCAATTTGCTGCACAGTGGAAGGGCTGGCATACATTCCGCTCCCCCGGGGGAGAAAAGCAACCTCCCGTCTCTTTCTCTGTAAAGGGCCCATCACTGCTAGGATCCCCTCCAATGGCTGCTCTTCGATTTGCTCCCTCAGCCTTTAAAGGGGGGTTTGCAGAGTGATTGGGACTCTCAAAGATGAGAAGGGTTTACCCTTTGGTTACTGCCAAAACAAGCCTTCGGAACTAGTGCGATGAAGCTTCCAAACTTTGCCCTGACCTGGATAGCCCAGGCTAGCCTGATCTCGTCAGATCTTGGAAGCTAAGCAGGGCCAACCCTGGCAAGTAATCAGAAGGGAGACCTCTAAGGAATACCAGGGCCGGGACACAGAGGCAGGCAATAGTTAAGCCACCTCTCTGAAATGTCCTAGTCCCACTAGGGGTCGCCAGAAGTCACCATGACTTCCAGGCTAAGCAAGCACGCGCGCACATACACACAAAATACTCACAGAAAATAGTAAAAAAAAAAAAAGCTTCCAACTTGTTTGTGTGTGTGTTTTAAATAAATAGTCAAGAAAAACAACTGATCAGGAGGAGGTGAAACCAGAAGCCACAAATGGCAGGATAATCAGCTGAAAGCGAGACTCCTTTAGGTAAAGCGAGTCTTCTGCCACGCATGGCTATTTCAATGTCAAGAAAAGGTCTTCCAAGCCCAGACTAACCCGAGTCTGCTTGAGCAAAATTAACCAGGAGTCCAGCAGCAGCAGAGAGCATGCGTTGCAAGCGGCATCTTCATCAGGGCTCCATTATTACATGTCCTGATATCTGGAGTATGCCATTATCAGTGCAGCCCATATCACACGCACACCATGCAGGTAGCTCCAAATGTTACATCATCTGTCTGGCACTAGAAGAAGGCTTGAATCCTTTCTCTCGTGCTTGCATTTCCGCTTGTGCAAGATCAGTGGTTTTCAATGAGCCCTTACGCTCCGTGGCAGAGGCTACCTAAGCAAGTATGGAACTGGTTTGCAGGATCCAAGCTAACTGGACAGAACAGTCTGGCGTCCTAGACCACAAATCAGAACTCAGCCATTCACTAATTAATGGTGGAATCCACCACCAGTGGACTTAGTGATGGCCACAAGCAGATATGGTTTTAAAGGGGGGGGGTAGACAAAGATTCATGGAGAAGAGGTCCATCAATAGCCACTAGCCACAGTTAGAGGCAGGAGACAACATCAGTGACGGGTGTGCCCTGTATGCTCCGTCTGATGGCCATCCAGGGCAACCGGTTGGCTGCTGTGTGTAACAGGGAGCTGGATTAGATGGGCCACTGGTCTGATCTAGCAAGGCTCTTCTCTCATCCTCTGCATGCTTGCTTAGAAGTAAGTCCCACTTTATTCAACAGCACTCAAACCCGCTTTCACAGAAGAAATCAGCCAAAACTATCTGCATGGGTTGTGCAAATATTATACCTCCAAAAGTTGAGGGGTGTGTGTGTCAAATTATTCAGGAACTTTGTCAAGTAACAAGTCAGTAGAGTGCACTGGTAAGGAACAGAGATCAGAGCTAGCCGGCCAGTTTAAGAGATGGGAGAACAAGGAGGCCACGGAGAAAGAGAGGCTGCCCCCCCCCCCCCCGCGTGCATGAAAACCAAGCCCCAGCTTCATGCAAGCCTCTTCCAGCCCAGGGAGCCAACCCCATATCGCCATGCTTGAACTGCAGACCATAAGGGCCAGAAATACAATTTAAGACCATTTTTAACAAGCCCTGCAATTCTGAGGGTGACAATAGAAACCAATCAGATGCAGGTCCCGCTTGCCCAGTAAAATCAAAAGTATGCAACGCTCTGGGTTTTGAAGCAATCCCACTTCACATAAGTGTTGGGGTGTTGCTATAAGGGCCCCTTTGTTAATGCATGGTAAAGGTTAAGCTTTCTGCAGGAGTTTCACACCCACTGTGTGCCTCTGTTCTCCATAAAGTGATCTCCAGTGAGCCCCAGAACCTTCCCCCTGACAGATCAGAGCTAGAACGTTTTCACACTTTTTCAAAAAAAAAATTCAAATAAATCAGAAAAATCAAAACAGAGTTGTCAAAATAAGGTTTCTCGGCTGCGTTTGAAATTCTGGTGCGTCGAACACAAGCTGCTGCTGAACTCAGAATTATCAGCACCACCATCACCTTTTCGGCAGGAGCAGGAACGATATCCACACCCTGCGCATCCGTCCAATTGTTTGATCGACACCATGAATTATATTCCAGCACTTTGACAAAACAGGCTTTCGTACCTGGTTGGTTGCTTGAATAAGCTCCTGGGCTTTAGCCCGGCTTGCAAGGTTGGCCTCTTCCATCTTGAAGAGCAGGGCAGTCACTAGGTGGGAAACAAGAGCCTTAGGGATAGAACTGGCCCCCAAAATTGCAGGAGTGAGCAGCAGACAAATTGCTAAGCCCACCTCCCTGACTAATCCTAGACTCAGGCCTAAAACATGTGAACATTAGTGCATCCCCAGCCCTGGCCGGCCCTTGCCTCAGCCTGTTCTGCAGACACAGAATAAGGTCAGTCCTCATTGGAAGACCTTAGCATCCCCTTCCTCCGCCAGGCTGGCCACTTGCAGGTACAGCCATGGCTCAGTGGGAGAACAACTGTTTAGCATGCAGAAAGTCCCAGGTTCAATCCCCCAGCATCTCCAGTTGAAAGGATCAAGCATTACAAAAGACCTGGGACTTTGGAGAGCCACTGCCAATTAGAGTAGTAGAGAAGACTCAGCTTCACAGACCAAGGGGCTCGGTTCAGGTTAAAGCAGCTTTGTGTGTGTTCTGCTTGCGTTTCTACTTCCAGCCTTAAGACAGGTCGGAAGCCTCCACTTTGTCCTTTTTTGGGACAGATCAGTTTTTCAGTATAATGGAAGGGCCCTGTCTTTCCAGTCAGTACGTCCCAGAGCAATCTCTGGATCACCTGTCCTGGAGCCACAATGGGACAGGTGCGCAGAGCTTAGCCTCTTGCCCCTGCCAGTTCTCAGTGTACCAAGTGGGCAGGCATACAGCCTGTCACCCAACAGCTCTGTATGCTGCCTCTAGGCTGATGGAAAGCCTAGATGAAGAGCACACTTCCCCTTGAAAATGGCTCAAAAACACTTATGGGGTTCATCAGTGTGGGGGTGGAGGAGGAGGTGAGACTTCATAGGCATTTTTAGGAGGCGTAGTGAAGGAAAGGCCCCTAAAGTCAGCTAGTTTAATGCCCTAGGTCAACTCTGTAATGCCCCTGGGCTGGTGTCTATTCCCTGGCCTCTAAAGACCATAAAACTCCATACCCTTCTTCCGTTCATCCCCCCCCCCAAAGGAGAAGCAAGCTAAGCTATGCAAAATAGGCAAATGCAGGAATGTGCAGATCAGAGCCTGTGGCTCCTTGGCTCTCTCTGTTATCACAAGGGCAATAACTTAACTCTGCCAAAAAAAGGTATGCAAAAACTATGCATGCACGCATTTGTGCCTCTCCATCAGCCAATTAATGGCTTTGGGATTTGGGGGGTCATGGAGTTTGACTGGAGGATGGGGGACAGGGAGTACTGGCATCCACCCCTCCCTCCGATTTCTTAGTTTGAGTGCAGATCTTGAAGCTTTCACAGACAATCGTGGGAAAACAGACTTGTCTCTCTTTTCTGAAGGGGTACTGGCATTTGCCAGCGTTCCAAAATCTGGGTTGGAACCAACCAAATTTATCTGCTGGTGGGGAAAAAGGAAGGGAGGGTCCCATCCGTCACCCCAAAAAGGCCATGCCAGGGATCGTGGGACTTGCACGGACAAAAACTACATAGGATGGAGGCTGTAATAAGGAGGGGGACTTGCTGAGATGGAGCAAAACCAGGCTGGGTCCAACCCTCTGTTCCAGACAGAAACTTTGATGCTTAGGCAGTGAACCTTTGGGAGACCTGAATCTAAACTGGGCTTATTTCTCCACAGGACAGAGGATCCGGCTTCTGATAAGAGATCAAGACGGTCGCATAACACAAATCTGTTCCAAAATAAATCCCAGTGCTGGTTTCTTAGTACAGCTTACTTAGGATGGGTCTGCAGGGCTGTAAAACTGTTCCCAGGAGCTGCCGCGGCCAGCCTCAAGCAGGGCTGCACAAAAAGCTACCTTCCCTCACTCCCATCCCATTTCATCCCCTGTCAGGATACATACATGCCAACACTCCGCTGGTGCAGTCTACCCCACCCTGCAGGTTCCAAGACATGGGAGCGGAGGGCGGAGGCAAAGTGCGCGAAGTGTGAGGCGGCTGCTGTGGTGGCTGCTCCTCTTTGGTCTCGGACAAGCTGTCTGCTTCGGGCTCATCCTCTAGCACGCTGGGCTGCTCAGCTGGGGGGTCATCAGGAAGGAAGGAGACATCGGGTGTCTTGCAGCTGCTGTCCACGGTCTGGGAATCAGGCGTGAGCTCCTGGCCGGGAGCCAACAGCTGAGGGCTCGGAGGCTTGGCGGTGCCCTCCGACTTCTCCGAGCCAGACCACGAGGGCTCTTCCTTGACCCTCAAAGGGCTGCTCGCGCCCTGGCTGCAGCTGTCTGCTTTGGACTTTTTCAGCCCCGTCTTCACCTTGAGCTTCTTCTTTTTCTTGGGCTCCGAGGCACCTTTTGGCTTGAGTCCCTTCAGCTTCTTCACACCCATCTTAGCCTTCAGTCCTTTGACTTTCTTGGGCTTGAAGCCTGGCTCCTTGATGTCCGTCATCTCGCCTTGGCCTGCCGCCGAAGCCCCGACCATCAGCACCTTCTCCTCTGACTTGAGGAAAGGCGACCGGCTCTCCCTGTCACGGCTGAACTTCACACCGATGGAGCCGACTTCCTTCACTGACGTGGTGCTGCTTACCCCTTCCCGGATCAGTACGGCCACCTTAGACTGAAGCTTCACTTTCCGACCCGAGCCTAGCTTGCCGCTCTCCTTGTGACTTCCAGTTTTGATTTTCTTCCCGGCCTTGTCTCGATCGGGTCGGGCTTTCTTTTCCGCCTTGGGCAATTCCTGTTGTTCAGAACAGGGAGGCCCCTCTTTGAGCTTCTTTTTGTACTTGTCGCGGGCACTGGGACGGTCCTCGGGGTAGGCCCTCTTGCGCTCTTTCTCCTTGGGCAACTTCTGCTTTGTGTCCTCCTCGGGCCGCTTGTCCTTACGGGAGGGGACTGTCTCCTCCTTGGCTCCTGAGCGAGCCCCACCGGATTTGGATTCCTCGGCGGGCTCACGGTCCGAGAAACAAGCATCAAAGCTCATTCCCTCTGAGTCATACAGCACTTCTCGCTTCGCTCTTTCCGGTGTCTCCAGCAGGCTCTCCATTTTCTCTTGCTGGTTCACCGTGATGGTCCTCTTGATGGTGAAGAGGTCATTGTCGTTGAGGTCTTGGATCGATGGCGGCACCACAGTCCGTGCATCTCTCCGTCTTTCCAGCAAGACCTTTTCCGACTTGGGTTCCTCCAACAGGTGGACTTCTCGTTCCCGCTCCTTGTCCTTGGATAAGCGACGGGAAGGATGTTTCTCACGTGAGTGAGACCGGGAGCGTTTCTTCTTCTTCCTGCTGCTATCCCCTCGGTGTTTGTCTTTGTGCCTACTGCGATGGGCGCGGCTACTGCTGCGTGATCGGGAACGACGCCCCCGCCTCTTCTCCTTCGACTTAGAACGCCTGCTCTTGCGGCGCTCAGCAGAGGTGTGTGAGGAACCGACAGCGGACAAGCTGGTGCTGATGGAGGGTGACCAGGAACGGGACGTTCGGTGGTGTGAGCGAGACCGCGAGGCCCTGTGGCGCGAGCGTCGACGCTCCTTGGATTTGGAGCGTGACTTGGATTTCTTCTTCGGGTTCCACGAAGAGGTGTACGATTCCTTAGATTTCGAGGCCTTGTGTTCTCGTGATCTTTTCCGCTCCCTTTTTGATTTCTTACAGGAGCCGGAGCTGGAGCCAGAGTGGGACTTGGAAGCGGGACGTTTGGGGGCTGGAGGAGGTGGAGGTGGCGGCAAGGGGGACGGGGCTCGGTGGTAGCGTTCTCGGCGCTGAGTCAGGATCTTCCGCCTTAGGTCCACCCCCTTCCAACGTGGGTCGGGCTGGCTCTCGCTGAAGTCAATCTGCAAGGCTCCTTCGTCATCTGAGTCGGCGTGTAATGACAGGAAGTCATCTCCTTCCACCACCCGCAGGGTACGCTGCTCAGCGGGGCGACACCTGCTCCGGAACAGTCGGATGGGGCTGTACCTCTCATCTTCTGGCTGGACAATCTCCCCTTCCTCGATTTCTGAGTCCCCACCTCCACTCCCATCCCACTCCATTGAGGACCGGCGTCCACCCCGGTGATGTCCGCTTCCCTTGGATGCCTTCTCCCCAGTCCTTAGCTTGGCATTCCCGACCGTTACCACTTCCAGGGACACTTTACCTTCAAGCTGAGGCTTTGCTTCAGCATCCAAGCGGCCTTTAGGAGCTAGGTCTACCACAAAGACCCTTCGGCGCGGCTCAGGGGCTTTAGATTCCAACTGTTCAGGAAGAAGCTCCTCGGGCAGCGTGGAATCGGCACCGGGGGGCTCCTTGCCTTCGGGGGGCTCAGCGGGACAGGCCGACTCGCTTTCGTAATCCCTGCCAGGTTCCGCTTCGGGCTCCGAATCCTCTTGCCCTTTGTCTGAGCTGGGGAAGTCTTGGCTCAAGCTGTTCTCATCGTAGATCCCGGCCAACGTTTCTGAGATGCGGCTGATGCTGTGGGACATGTCGGGAGGAGGCTGGTCACGGTCATCGTCTTCCTCCTCGTCGTCATCGTCGTCATCCTCCTCGGGAGAAGGGGTGGTAGCCGAAGAACTGGGGTTGGAGCCTGTGGGGTCGAAGGGGTCATATTTCTGGTCATGCCGGCCACCCTCTGCCTCTTTGTGGGGTGAGTCACCAAAGCCGAAGTCGCCGTTCAGGTTATCCTCATCAGTAGGGTGGAAGGGATCATAAATATCCAAGTCTGGGGAGCGCATGGCAGGGCAGGGGTTGATGGAGCCACCTCCGCCTCCTTCGCCAGGGAGGCCCTGATGGCGGGACACGGAGGACGCTGATGAGGAGCAGGACGAGGAAGAGGAGGAGGTGCTGGAATCCGCCTTGTCCAGGGAGTTGGCAGGCGGCGGCTGGGAACGCTGCTGGGACTCGGACTCGCGGCCCGTGGCGCCCTGTGGGCGTTGCTGCCCCCCATTGGATATCCCCATGCCAGTGCCCAGAGTCATGCCCAGATAAGGTGAAGTCCTGTCTACTTTGGGGGACTGCGAAACCTCACTCCTGACTAAAGCAGAAGTCCAAGGGCCCTTGTCCATTACTGGCAGAGTTCTGTGCGGGTCCAGAGGGTAGGGCTGTTCTGGGAGGGAAGAGCGGCCGACGGGGCAGTCCCTTCTTCCTCTCCAGCAAGGTGCGGATGATCCAAGGCAGACTGTTGAGAGCATTAAAAAAAAAAATTAAAAAGCGGTTAGGAGGCTTACAGGAGCTGCGTTTTCATTTCCTGCCCTTTGAGAAAGGAGGAGACCATTCCTCAGCGCTGTTTCCTCCACTTTAACCTTCCCAGCCCTAAACTGGACCTGGCGCGCCTTAGAGGTCAGGGTCTCAACATATCCAAGCCCTCCCCTTGTCCACTGGCCACCAAGTAACAGAACTCTCTAGCCCTGAAGCTGTGGTGTGTCCTCGGAACTCCTCAGCCCAAACCTTGCCTCAGGAAAGTTGCTATTTGGTCCTCCGACCACAGGTCTCCTCCATGGCTGATGACTGGGGACCCTAAGCGCCAGCCAGGAACTGAGAAACTTTCGGGGAAGAGAGCTGCAGGTGCCTGCAACTGCCAACAGGTCCCCGCCTCTTTCCAAGACAAGTATCCTGGGTGGGGAAGGTGATAAGGAGGCTTTTAAACAGGGGGCACAACATCTGGATGCTGTTAAAAATGCCTGAACAGGCCTCCCTGTGGCCTGTCGGCAAACCCAACTTTCATCTACCGTTTTAAAGAACATACAACATTGTGCTTCTCTCTATAGGGCAGTGGTTCTCAGCCTTTTGTATCTTATGCCCCGCCAAGCACTCTATGAAAGACCTTGGGTCTCACCAGGTTAAAGCCCGCTTTTTCTGAGGACAACATTTATATGCTTACAAGCAATGCTCCCTCCAAGCTGAGGCGTCTTATGAGCAAAAATTCTACTTTGTGAGCTACCGGCATTGAAGTTGTGAGCGAGCGATTTGGCTGCTGCATAAATCGGTTTGCTCTGGAGCCATCCTGCCTGAGCTAAGACAAAAATGTGTGAGCCGGAGGCTAAAAAACTGTGAGCTAGCTCGCACTAACTCATCTTAGAGGGAACACCGCTTACAAGCATTCTATTACTCTATTTATAATTTACAGTAACTTTTAAAGAGACCAAAAAAAAACACCCTGCAGTTAAGATTTGAGTCCAGTAGCATCTTAGAGACCAACAAGAGCTTCAAGGTATATAAGCTTTCGAAAGCCACAGCACCCTCTGTCGGACACTGATGGGATGTGCTTCTGACTATCGAAAGCTTGTACTCTGAACCTCTTGTCAGTCCCCAAAAGGTGTTACTGGAATCAAATCTAACTGTTCTACTGCTGACTGATACGGCCACCCTCCGGGGAAAAACTGCACTAGTATCTTGGGAAGCACCTCATACTTGAGAAGGGTAATAATTCCACGGAGTATATTTTTTGCTGCTGTAACTGCAAAATCCATGGGGGGAGGGGGCAAAGGCGCAGTGGATAATCAGTGGCAGGCAGGCCCAGCAGGAAGTGGCCCATCAAAGACAGCTGCTGATGGGCAAGAGGAATGGGGGGGGGAAGAGAATTAGGAGAGAACACCAAGCGTCCAAGGTTATTATACTAGCACGCAAAAGGTCACAGATAGGTAATCTGTGACAGGCATGGTTGGCAAGAGATGGCACGACACACATGCAGGTGGACCTGAGGATTGGGGGCGATTGTTATGAAAGCCCTGCGTCTCTCCTCGATTACGTGTACCACCGATCGAGAAGCACTCTCCAGGGTTCGCACACAGACACATACCAGATTTCTGCATCCTCCAGGACCGATCTCTCCTAAAGATGCCCGACAAGGCACCAACGTCCCCCAGCCGGACTTCAGCCACCAGCTCTACCTCTTCCATATCTTCTTCCCCACTGTTTGGGCATTGGGGAGGGGGAGAGGGAAGGGAGAGAAATGGAATCAGGATGGGAACCTCACTGGCCCTCCAGAATTCCCACCGCACCTAATCTGTAAAGCTTTAAAATGAGGCAATTCACAAAAAAGGGGTGAGGGGGAACAAAGAAAAAATCTACATCGTGGTCCCAGAATCCTAATTCCTAGGGCCAAATCAGATCGTGAAAACCAGGGAGCTTAATGGGAACAGATTTATAAGGAAAGTTTGTAGAATTCATAACTGCAAGCAGAAAGCCTCTGCCTTGCTTTTCACCAGTGAAGGCTTGGAAGATATAATCTCTGCTCTCCATCTTGAGAATCACTACGTTCAAATGCTTCCTAAATTGTTCCAAGCACAAAAATTCATGCCCTTGTAATCCAGGGTGGTATACAGGGTATACAGGGTGATATGCAAGGTATACAGAGCTACCACCAAAATCTGTCCATTTCCGGCTGTTGATGGTAGCTCTGAACACAGCTATTTGCGGCCCTAGGTGGGAGGAATCATTGCTCTACTGCCCTGGCGTTTGCCTTGATCTACACGGCAGTGGGTGTAATTCATGGTATTTTCACCCTACGTACCTTGGAGATGGTTTCCTTCCCTGTGGTCCACTGGGGACTCCAGAGCTCACTAACACAGTCTGGTTTCTTAGGGGTGCTTGTGAACTCAGACATCTAGGCAGCACATTCAGACATCAAAGATGTGCTGAGAAGCGCTTTCAGCAACTGCTCTCCCCTTTCCTTGGGGAGGTGGCAATGCCTGAGGTCATCGGACTGCACAGAACCAGCAGTTCTTGCCCCCCAGCCCCCGTCTGAATGTTACTTGTCAGGGCAGTACCTCGTAGGCTGGGATGGATTCTAAAACTCCCTCTCGCACAGAGTCTCATTTTTCTTATTGCAACTGGATCCAAATCATTACCAAACAACTAAAACAAGACTCCAACGTATTTAAGTTGCTGTTGAAATTGGTGAACATGTTTGCAAAGCTGTTATTGCATTGCGTCAATTATGCAATCTTACTATTCCGCACAGGGTTTTTTGCAGAATATCAAAGCTGAATGCTGGCACAGCACACAGAGCTGACAGGGCTCGTTCCCCCTTGCAATTGTCACCCTGTTAAAGAATCCCACTTACTAAACCACCTGGGTCCCCAAGGAGCTTTCTACTTCCTGGGGCAAATGGCGTGCCCATTCCAGGTAATCCAGGACTCCAGCCAAGGCAGGTACTGCAGCAGCAGGAGGAGGCTCAAAAACCTGGAGAAAAAGGGAAGTCTGCATAAGTAAGGCGCAGGCTGAGACCTGCAATTTCTCTTCCACTAGAGGAGAGGAAGGAAAGAGACACACCACCATGATCGACCCACATTCACAATACATTGGGTTGTACCCAATCACTCTGCTCAGCTGAGGGCAAAGCCCTTGGCTGGAGAAACAGGCTCTGCACTTCACTGAATAGTAGAATAGAAGACGAAGAAGAGATCGGATTTATACCCCACCCTTCAGTACCCAAAGGAGTCTCAGAGCAGCTTACAATCTCCTTTCCCTCCCCCTCCCCACAACAAACACCCTGTGAGGTAGGTGGGGCTGAGAGAGCTCTCTAGAGAACTACTCGTGAGAGAACAGTAGCTGCATGTGAGGGAGGGAGGAATCGAACCCGGTTCTCCTAATCACTACACCAATACAAACCCAAGACCTGTGACTGTTTATCCCAGTGTACCATTATGATGCCTGCACACACAAAGAAACATTCCCAACCTAGGGGGTGAATTCACCAAAACTCATTTGGAAGATCGCAGAGCACTGAGAAGCAGCACCATCCCCCTAATTGCCATTTGCCAAGATCTGTGAGCTCACTAATACAAGAAACACATGCGCATCCAAACATACCTCACCCATTGGGGGGTTCCTATCACAGACCAACGCAGGATCCCCTGTTCCCAGCCAACTTCCTCCCAGCCCTTCGGATCTGGAGCTCCGGCACCATTTCCTTCGGCTTGTGCGCTTGCGTTCAGCATCTGAAAATGAAAACAGGCACTCAGAGTAGCTATCGGACTGAAGCAAAGGCAGGTGCATGCATTGTGTGTGTGTGTGTGGGGGGTTTACCATCATGTTGCAGCTGACTTATAGTGGCTCCCAAAGGGTTTTCAGTCCAAGAGATGGACAGAAGTCGTTTGCCATTGCCTGCTTCTGCGCAGCTACCCTGGACTTCCTCAATGGTCTCCAATCCAAGTACCAACTAGGGCTGACCCTGCTTAGCTTCGAAGATCTGATGAGATCAGGCTAGCCTGGGCCATCCAGGTTGGGGTGCATTCTGTGTTAAGCCTCTATTGTGGGTGTGCATTCAGTAAAACCAAATTGAAAACCCTCCGTGATAACCCTTTTTGGCATTTTTCTGGTATTCGGCATACTGAATCAGATTCCCTGAGCTGATTCAGCTGCCGAATACTGAATGCCAAAAAAAAAACCCTGAACATTTTCAGGTTTTTTTCGGCTTTCTCGGGGAGACACTGCTGCCTGTCTTTTCCCCATCCCCATAGGAAACAATGGAGGATTGGGGGCACCCTCTTTGGATGCCCCTAGAATTGGACCCCTGGTCCAATCTTTTTGAAACTTGTGGGGTCTTTTGGGGAGAGGCTCCAGCAGCTACAGGACAAATTTGGTGTCTTTACCTCAAACCCCCTCCCCCACAGCCCCCTGATTACTTGTTAGAAGATATTTGTCATTGACTACAATGCCCCATAGGATATAATGGAGCCAAAACTTTTCAGGAATACCGAAAAGTTTCAGGTACCAATAGAATACCGATATTGGTATTCAGGTATATTCAGGAATACTGAAAAAATTCTGCTTTATTATACCCGAATCTGGGGAAAAAAACTGAATTTTTATTTCCTGCACACCCCTAGCCTCTATTAAAGGGACATTCTCCCCACCAGGCAACTGGCAACCCTATTGCCAAGACAGAATTGTTGTAAGGCCCATGGATATCATTGCTGAAGGTGCACCCCCCTCCCCAGTCCAGTTCCTCCAGCTCCTCTCAATATCTAAGGCTAGCCCCTCAATTTTGAGATACCTTTTTCGCTGGCTGGATCTTGCAGTTCAGCGGCCAAGCCACTGCCCACAGCTTGCTGCAAAGCTTTCTGGGAAGATTAAAAAGGAAACAAGAAATAGAGTTAGCGCAAGGTGCAAAGATCAAGAACTTAACAACCAGAAGCCTGACTACAAGCAGCCAGCTTTCCCCACTCCACAATGATGATCTGTGAAATCATATGAATGAGGAGAACAAGTTCAGCCCAACATGAGTGAAAGAGTATCTCACAAGGCAATCCCAAAAGTGACTACAGCAGGTCATCAAAAGGAATCATTTGCAAAGACAAAGCATTGCTTAAAAGCTTTCCTCATTCAAGCTGAACTCTCAAATCGCCATGCGCTCGCAAGGGACACACAAGTCGCAATTAGGGGTATACATTTGGCATAAACCAAACTGAAATACCTTATTGGTATTTTGGGGGTATTTTTCCAGCTGGTTAGCCAGTGGGCTACTTATCAAGCTATCTAAAAATGTCCAACCCCAAAAATCCTGAAAATATTTGGGATTTTTCAGGACTGCTGGATAGCCACTGTTAAAGGACATTTAAAGGGCTCTCAGTCCCTTTAAATGCCTTTGGAGTGAACTCTCAGCTTGGAGAAGGCATTTAAAGGGACTGTGAGCCCTTTAAAAGCCTTTTCCTTCCTCCATTGGAAACAATGGAGGATGGGGGCACCTTCTTCTAAGTCCCATATAACAGGACCCTCTCGTCCAATCTTTTTGAAACTTGGGAAGTTTTTTGAGGGCACCAGCAACTATGCAGCAAATCTGGTGCCCCCCCAAACCCCAGATAACCCTGGATTGATTCTCCATTATACTCTACGGGTACTATGGACTATAATGGCCCCAATAGGGTACAATGGATCCGGGGGGAAATCGACAACCAAATATTTCCTGCATCCAAATACCATACTTTTATTGGGATTCAGGAATATTGAGAAATACCGATATTTTTGGTGCTATATATCCAAACCCAAAAAATACTGGGGGGGGGGGTTTGCACACCACTACTTGCAACCAAGGAAGAATCTGCTGTGTTGCTGATGCACATATCCAGAGACATTTTTAAACCTGAAGTCCTTGGTTTTGTTGCCACCAGTTACCTTTATATATATATTGTATAGCCTGCCTCACTGAAACTCTCCCATTGTCTAAGTCAGCTCGATCATCTGTGCTGACTTTGTACAGCTTATTTACCTTTCTGTTTCCTTTCTTCTGCATGCCCCGAAGCCAGCCAGTTTTATAAATGTTTTCTCTCTCTCTCTTTCTCTCTCTGGAGGAAAGACTGACAGTATGCTTTCTGGATGCAACTCTCCCAGGCTCCCAGCTCCAGTGCATGCTGACTTGCAAGGAAATGTCACTTCCAAGCATGGGAACATATTTCTGCCTGACACCACAAACCTATGCTTGCCTGAAAGCAAGTCCTACTGAGAGTAAGCCCCACTGGAAGCAGCAGAGCAGACTTGAACCCCACTGAAGTGCATTGTATCAGGCAGAACATGTCAAATTTGGACAAAAAAAAGGGATTCCACCCCCCACAGTTGGCTGATTTGGCTAAAGATAGAAGCACTCACGAGAGAAATACTATTTGGTTCTTGCTTAACCCTCCAAACCCAGAACAGCTGCTCCTATACCATTGCTCTTAGGAGTATAAGATTAAAGGATAATATTCTTTTTTTAAATCCATGCATGGGGGGGGCAGGTGAGCTGGCAATTCTGGTGGATTTCTTGGAAAGGCAGATGAAAACACCATCCTATGGATCTGGAATCCACACAGCTTGAATACATAAACAATTCCCCCACAGAACGATTAACACATACCTGGGAAAGTGGGGGGACGGAGAATAAATAAAGAATTTAGGCTTTAGCGTAGACGTTTAACTGCTAAAGATATAATCTCTTTTCTCTTTTATTATTAAAGAAGATTATCACTAACAACACATACCTGGGAAAGTGGGGGGACGGATAATAAATACAGAATTTAGGCTTTAGCATAGACGTTTAACTGCTAAAGATGTAATCTCTTTTCTCTTTTATTATTAATAGATTATCGCTAATATTAAAGTTTTTGTTTCATATTGACGTTTTACTGTCTGCTTCTATATCTGAAATACGTAATACATCTGATAATACATCTTATTTGACTTGCTACATGTAATAACTCATAATATTTGATCAACTTGATGAAGCTATATTTTCCCCTATCCCCTCTTTCCTTTTGTATCCCACTTTGTTTGAGAAAATTAAAAACATATATAAAGAATTTAGGCTTTAATGAATACCCAATCAGGGATAACATGAAACAAAAAAAGTTTAGTTAAAATAAGGCTGGTGTGGTTTTCAAAAAGCCTGCGCGGTAATAGAAAAATGTTAACAAGGCATCAACATGCAAGAATTAGCTTCCGACAAAATGAAGCAGTGAGACCTAAGATGGAAAGAACCCTAAGCCGGGGGAGGGGACCTCTTCCTATGCTCCTCTGCATGCTGCTTCAGAATGGGCCCCGTATTCTTAGGAATGGCTTATTGGGGAACACAAGGAGCCACAACAAAAAGGGTAGCCAAGAAAAAAAGATCACTGACGTGCACAGAGACAACTCGGATCAGAGTTTCAGCAACGAATTAAGTGCTGATGTAAAACATGATTGTGAAGTTCCGAGAAGCCTACAAACATCCACCTACAGACAGGCACAGAAGAGGGCCTGTGAAATCCTTTTGATATGCAGGAAAGCCATGGTCAAAGACAAAGCTTTTTTCCAGGGCCTTTTCATGTCATTGTTGCAAGGTTGCCTCATTTCTGATTTACACGCACACACTTCACCATCATCTATGGTTGTGTAGGTTACCTGGAGCTTATTTCCACTGGAGCCCAATTAGCAGTGAGATCTCAATCACGCAATTCAGTTATTGCTATAATAAGGCATTCGGCTTGAAGCCCTTGTTTAACCCAGTGGGAGTCCCTTATCAACATCTGTTACATTTCTTTACTCCTTCAAATTCTAGCATTCAAGATAGCCAAACACTTGATTGCCCACTGTGTTAAGGGGTGGAGGGAGAGATGAATGACGGGCTGATCCATCAATAAAATGCAGGTGGATTAGGTGGGCAGTCCTACATTTCATTCAACAATTACTTCTGTATTCTCCACTCCTCCAGCTGGGTTTTTGGGTGTGCGTATATTTTTAATTCCTTGCAATTTTATGTACTTTACAATTTACAGAACCTACAGAATAGACTATAAAACGGGATGTTACATGTCATAAAACTGCTTAATGTATACTTAAATTGGCATTTTTAATAAGCTATTATCTCATGATTCCCCGGGAAAGTGAATAATTTCAGAGTGGGAGCCCTGTTTGTCTGTCGTAGCAAAAATAAACAGAGGCCTTGTGCAGCATCATAAAGACAAACAAGCTTTTATTCTAGCATAAGCTTTCAGGGACGATGGCCCACTCTGTCAGATACATTAGGAACAAATATCTGTTAATGTTTAGTCTTTAAGTTGTGAGACGGCCCAAGGATCTCGAAATCTGAGACATGAGTGAGATATATGTAAGACAGATATTTTGGTCATCCGCTGTACCATTTGGGATTTGTTTGCTGTTTTCTCTGGACAGAAAAAGTAGCCCTGGGAATCCTTAGGGCCACAGTCATACCAAGCATCACTGGCTGTGAGTGGAGAAATCCAGCTGCATCTGAAGAATCCTGCAAAACTCCAGTTTGCACAAGGAGAGGAGACACAAATCGCTGTTGCCGTAGCAAGTGGCAGGAGGCCACGCTGTCTGATGTCAGCCTTGTGACCTCCTCCAGATTCTTGCAAGAGGCCTCAGATTTGCAATAAACACGAAGACGAGACACTGACACCTCCAGGGCTTATTATACTATAAAAGAACCAAGGATGGCTCATCCACCCTTCATAACTAGCTGTGCCCCTTCTTGCGGACTGCAGGGCTTGCTCCACCACCCTTACAAGCATACCATTCTCCTACAAAGCCAAGCCCTCCCCATGTCCCCGCAAAGCCAAAGAGGACTTGCTCTCTGTGTGTGTACATATATGCAATCTGGGGTGGGGGTGGGAGTGGAGTGGCTACTGCAACAAAGATGTAGAGTTGAGATTCTGAGCAGAGAATTCTAATCCACCACTACAGGTTCAATTGTAGAGAGAAAAGGGGGAAAGGGCTTGTACTACGTTGGTGGTAGTGGTGGGAATTCATCATCCAATCTTGACCCAGTGGCAGGATGCCATGCAGAGCTATACCAGCCTCTTCCAGATTCCTGCAAGAACCCTCATAAAGATAATACATTATATGCTGTCCTGTGCCCCAGGCAGAGTACAAGACAAAAGTTTGCACACATGAGCAACTTGTTATACATTGACAGGGGCAGGGGAAGGACTGGCAAACATGCCAGGCTAACCCTTCTAAGAGAGAGGCAGGGAGAGCTCTCCAAAACTATCTGCTGCCCATTTTACATATGTAAATAAGCAACCTAGCTTTAGACACTCATTTGCATCTCTAGAGTGGACAAGACAAATTAATGCTCCCAGCAATGCCAAGCCCACTCTCCCACAATGGCTGCTCCCATTCCCCATGAGCTCAACCACACAAGGCAGAGTTTCCCAGCATGCATAGCATCTGCCAACCACAATCCAAAAACAAAAGTTCAGAAGCGATGCCCATCACAGACCCATGAGAAAGAGAGGCAGCCATTACCAAAATGATAACCTGGCCAGCACAGAAGGCACCCGACTGGTCCCAATCTGCATCGAGAGACGGTTCAGCGGCCGGCTTCTCCCCACCTCGTGCAGGATCCTCCCTTACCGGGGGGTGTCCATTCTCCTCCTCTTCCATGTCTGCAGGAACTGCAAATCCTGGATGATGACCGAGGGAGGGAAGGGTCAGCAATATCAGCAATATTCTAGCATCTGACCCCCTTGAATGCTTCAGTCTAGTTTCTTGCACACTGCATCCCGCTTGCGCAGAATTCAGGGATCCTGGCATCCAAGCCTGGAACACGCACAGATATGTCACGCACCACCCACAGACCTGGCTCCTGGCCTGCATTTCTAACCACCAGACCCTACTCCCTTCTCAGGAAAACACCCACCCCTTCCCTACTCTAACCCAGAGTTGGGATTTGTCATCACCTGTATTCAGGGGTAAGCATTTTCAGGGAGAGGTGGGAAGGGCTGGGAATGAACAGCTCACGTCTGGCTTTCTTTAAGAGATACTTCGGCGTGCCAATTATGCATTTCTAATTATTGCCCAAATGTGAACAAGAGAAAATGCCATGATCGAATATTAAACACTTGCCATGTTTGAAGCCTGCGTGTTTAAATCAGACAGTAACTGCAGACTAAGGCGTCTTATCCCACATACAATCATCCCTGTTCCCTTTGAGAAGAGACATGTTCCAGGCACACTTGCAAGCCAGGGGCAGAAAGAAGGAAAGGGGAAAACATCAGGATCTAGCCCCAGAAGCTGTCTTGTATCACAGCAAGTGCCTAAAGCCAGAGGTGTTCCCAGGATGAGCACCGGTGAGCTTTAAGAGCCCCTCTCTTGGTGGGGAAATGTTAAATAATAAAATGCTTCCATTCCCTATAATAAAAGCCAAAGCCTGATATAAGGCTCATCTAGACTTCACTGTTTCATGTCCTCTTCTGCTACTAATTCCTTCCTCCTTAGCCCTTATATCTAAAACCTGCTAAATCAGGTTTCCATAGTCAAACACTACCCACACATGAACTCTCCTCCTTAGCTGCCTGACTTCCATACCAAGACTCAGCCCATTTAAGGCTCACAGGCTTCCTCCTGTGTCCCCACCCCCTTTGCCCACAACCCGGCATCTTTTCTGCCTTTCCCAGTGTATGTGACTTTTTTCTCCACTTGAAGACACAGTCCACCCCTTCTATAAAAGCCTGATGGAACAACTCAAGAATTAAAAGCAACGAGCACATCAGGGAAAGTGACAGGAGTGAACTCAAATGACAGGCTGAAGGTGTCCAAGAGGTGGGATTTTTAGCACTGGAATGACAAAGCAAATCAAGAGAATGGCAAAATACCACTTAGGATTTGCTGGAAGGATTAGGACATTCAACACGTTTTCTAAGCTTTAAGGAGGTAAGGACCAAAGAGCCTCAACTGCTCACCTAGTCTTTCGAAGTTCCCCGTCTATTAAATAATCTGTTTGCTCTGTACCATTGCATGTCAGATGCGACACATTAGCAGAACCAGAAGATGTGCACTGTTGTTATATACTGCAAAAAGCACAGACAGTAGGAAACCACCCAGCAGACCATCTGCCCAACTTCATTTCCCCAATGACGCCCCACACCTAAAAACTCATAACAGTTCTTTATCCAACCTCTTCTTTAAAACCAAGTCATTTCACTCAGGACTGCATCTCCGCCCGCCCCCCCCACACACACACACCAGAACTCTAACCCACCATCCCACCAATTTCTCATACTGAATTGCAACATCTGAATGTCATCTCCCCTTAGCAAGCATCACACCACCAGGCTGCCAAACAGGACCCCCCAAAACTCCATATTTTGAACAGCCTGTTAGCAGCTGTATCTATCACTTCACCGTGCACTTTCTACTTTCATTTTTCCTGCTCTCACCCTTATTCACTCTTCAGATCTGCACAATGTTTGGCCGGAGTTGTTGTTCTCCATAACCTGCATCTTAGGCCCACAGTCCCTTTGATGTATACGAACTCCATTAATCACACATTTCCTCCAACAATCCAGGTTTCGGAATGTTAAAATGAGCTCTCCTCCCCCAACCTTAGATCCACAGGCCACTAACTCAGACCTCCCCCAATTTCTCAACGATCAGCTTCTTACCTTGAACACATAGAAAGGGCCCCCCAACATCCTGCCAAGGCCAACAAAAGCCCCACACCGCATCTCCAAGCCACATTAAAATGTCCCAACACTACCAGCTTGCATAGATGTGCAGGCCGCAAAACGCTTCCATTCCCACCAAAGTTAGTGGCTTCCTCGGAAGACACTCGGAAGACCCTTAAAGCGCGCACTGACCCTTCCAAGACCTTTCTCTCCCTTCCGAGAGAAACACACAGCGTATTCTCCGTATACCATTGTCTCTCTTCCTTCGTAATTTCTAACCTTCGCAGCTCCAAAGCCCCTCCCCCCCGGCCACAATTAGGGGGATCCTCTCGACTCCAAATTAAGCCCCAAACCAGCCCCCCAACGATCTCCCTCCTCATCACCCCCCCTCCCATGCCTTAGAAATGACACCCTTCTCTAATGTCACCCCAATGCCGCCGCCTCTGTTGTTTTCAGGCCTTCACCCCTGCACTGCGCACACCTAATACACCCCCCCCCCCCCCCCCCCAAACCAACCCCCCCCCCCCCCCCCAAAAATACCACCCCCACTCCCGGCCACAATATTAGCTTCTTCAGCAATGCTTTTCCCCATCAGGTTGCCATAATTACCCGGCTCCACAGCAAAGTTAGGCCTTCCGCCCGCCCCTCTTTAGCACAAGAAGAGGAGGAGGAGGAGGTTCGGCCACTGCCGCCGACACTGCCCGGGCCCGGCCTCTGCGGCAGCCATTTTACTCAGCTCGGCCCTACTGCGGGGAGGGTGGTCGAGAAAGGCGGGGCAACAGAGCTTCTGAGCGTTCTGGGAGATGCAGTCCACAGGGCACCATCCCTCGCGCAAAGAGCGGCCGAACGGACTACAACTCCCGAAATGCCTCGAATTCCCGTTGAGGGGAACGGTGCGCACGGTGCGATGGGAGATGTAGGAACGGAGGGCGGCCGCTCCCGCAGTGCTGTGCGAGACCAAAGGGCTACGGTCTTCCTAATTCTCGAAGAAGATTTCGAGTTGCCGATGACATTTGTTTAGTTAGGGTCCTCCATGTGCGGGGACAGTGGGCATGCACGGAATTCTGTGTGCGCTCATAGTGGGGATGCGCTAGAGATGCCAGCCTCCAGGTGGGACTTGGGGATCCCCCGGAATTACAGCTCATCTCCAGACTACAAAGACCCGTTCCCTTAGATAAAATGGCTGATTTGGAGGGGGGACTCTATGGCATTGTACCTCACTGAGGTCCCTGTCCTCTCCAGGCTCCATCCCCAAATCTCCATGAGTCCCCAAACCTAGAGCTGGCAATTCTACCCGTCCATCTCTTGCCGGGGGCCAAAGGGGACCTGGCAACCCTTGGATGCGCGGCTGGTTTCGGGAGGGGGGGTGTTTCCTGGATTTGGGCGATGGGCAGAGTGTGGGGAAGGAGGAGGAGCTCAGGAGAGATATGCCATACAGCCCGTCCTCCAAAACTGCTGTTGTCTTTAGGGCGTCTCGATCTCCGTAGTCTGGAGATCAAATGTTAATTCCAGGAGATCTCCAGGCTTTTCTTGAAGATTGGTAACCCTAGTTCCAAACAGCCAATGAGGGATTAGGTCCATCTAAGGATCAAAAAAAGATTTTACCCCAAGGCCTGCTGAGGAGGGGATAGATAGGTTCAAATCCTCCGTCAACTGGATGTCATTAGGCCAGTTGCTCTCTCTTAGCCGCCAGCTCCAGGTTGGGGAAACACCTGGAGATTTTGGGGTGGAGCCTGAGGAGGGCAGGGTTTGGGAGAGCCTCCAGTGGGATATAATGCCATATTTGGCCCACCTTCCAAAGCGGCCATTTTCTCCAGGCGAACTGATCTCTGGAGATCAGTTGTAATTCCAGGAGATCTGCAGCCACCACCTGGAGGCTGACAACCCTATAGTCTTAGCCTAGCCTACCTCACAGGGTTGTTATGAGAATGGATGTGAAAACCCTAGTCATTATAGTGTTGTACATGACTGATGAAGGAGATGGGGTTAAATCCCAAGCCAAATGGGTGTCCTTGAGCTAGTCACTCTCTCTCCGCCTAACCTAGAAAACTAGCATGGTGTCCTGGTTACTCCCCTGGACTGCAAGAAGATCAAATCAGTCAATCCTCAAAGAAATCAACCCTGACTGTTCCCTGGAAGGCCAGATACTGAAGCTGAAGCTCAAATACTTTGGCCACCAAATGAGAAGGGGGCACTCACTGGAGAAGACCCTGATGCTGGGAAAGATTGAAGGTCAAAGAAGACGGGGACGGCAAAGGATGAGATGGTTAGACGGTGTTATCGAGGCAACGAACATGAAATTGAGCAAACTCCAGAGCATGACGGAAGACAGGAGGGCCTGGCGTGATGTGGTCCATGGGGTCACGAAGAGTCAGACTCGCCTATGCGACTGAACAACAACGACTGAAAGCACTAATCCTGCTTAGCGTAGACTCCAGTCCACGAACATTTATGTCATAACAAAATGTTCTATTTTTTTTAAGTGCCATGAGACCACTGTTTACTTTTGCTGCTGCAGGTAAACACGAGATTTTAATAATTTTGTACTTTTGCCCCGTATATGGAAGATTCAAGTATAGACGCCTCTTTTCCTCGGAAATAAGCGCGAGGGGAAGTGTAGCATTCGACAATGTGCAATCAATAAGTACAATGTAATGCCTGTGCCTAAAGACGATCTTCCAAGACCAAGACAGGATTGCCAGGCAGAAAGCGTCACTAACCCAAAGCCTTTGCCCTATCCCATAGTACCTTGCAGCGCCTTTTTATCTTGAGCTTTATGGGAAATGTAGTTTTTGTATGTGTGTGTGGTGGGGTGCGCCTTTCAGGGTGGAGTAAAGCGGAGCCTTCCAGGGTGGAGTAAAGCGGGGCCTTCCAGCCCCTCCCCAGCAGCAATGTCGTCTCCATGGAGACCAGGGAAAGGTCATCACGTCGTGCTATCGTCATCGGGGAAAACTGTCACTCCGTGATGGCGTCATCATCATGCGAGGAGTTCTGGTTGTTTATCTCGCCCTAGTAGTGGGTCATAACGCATACATAATTGCAAATGCATTCTTTGAAAAACTTTTCGGCGCCGGAGGTTGATGGAGGACATCTGCGCAGCCAGACATTTTTACCCCTTTAAAAAGTCGTGCCCCAGATATTCAGGGAAATTTTGCAACCAGGCACAAGGGCAAACGCTGGATTTCAAGTGTTGGTGATTCCTCTCCTTATTCCTGTCGCATTTGCACAGTGCCACAGCCGTCAGCGGTGGCTCTTAAGACGCTGTCGAAGAGGTAGGCTTCTGCAATGGCTGTCCAGCGCCCAACCATGGTGCCGTTTCCAGCCCAGTGTGCTGATGCTACAAACCACTGTGGCAATGACACTTAACTAGTTGAGTGGGGTGCACCCTTTATCTCCAGCATTTCTGAGAGAATTGAAACATGCTCATTTAGACGCTCCCCCATTCTCATACCTATAATAACTTTATAAATCCCTCCTTCCCACTCACTATGACCTTATTTGCTCCTATGCTGCTGTAATTTGGAAGCAACAGTCGAAACAATAGTAGCTCTTTTGGTTCAAACTTTGTGTTAAGGGCTGTGAAGTCCCAACGAAGTCCCAATTTATGGTGAGCGGCAACCCTATGAACTACCCCTTAGTCAGAAAATGTGGCGGGGGGGGCTGTGGAATTTGGGGAGGGTCACACCCCTCCCAATGCAGTGACATCAACAATGACACCAACAAATGGACCCCAGGAGAAATGTGTCTCCCACGATCTACCCATGAACCTCCAGCAGGCAAGACAGCTCAGATGGCAGTTAATTACCTTTAGAAGGCATTTAAATGTTTATTTATTAGATTTCTACCCCGCCCTCCCGCCAAAGCGGCTCAGGGCAGCTTACAGTTTTAAAACCAACATAAAATACATTCTAAATACCCCTCCATGGGGCAAGAGCAGTCAGAAGGGCACTCAAGAGTGGTAAACTTCAATACATCTCCAACAATCTGCCTTTCTGCTAGCCCAGTCCTGCTGTATACACCTAGGTCATGGTGAAACCTTTCAAAAGCATCCCTATGAGCCTTTGGGAAACAAGCAGAAAGGGGGATGATTGGAGAAGTGCTGAAGGTACTCGGGGGTCATTTCGTAGACAAAGAGGTGCAGGAGCTCATTAGCATAACTCATTAGCATAAATTTGCCACACCCTCTGACATCACCAGAAGTGTGTCAGAAGGCAACACCCACCACCGCTCAACCTCCACTGGACTGTTTTGGATTGCTAGCTTATGGGGGGGGGACGTGCAGATCTGTCCTCGCAGAGGAGGGAGAGCTTGTACCTGAATAAAACTTGGTCTTAAAGGTGCCACTGGACTGTTTGGGGTGGCGGGGGGGGGGGCTCTGCAACTTACCTGGCTGCTTTATGCTCTGACTGAGGGCTGCTGGGAGCAGGGGGTGGGGCTTGTTGCATGTGCCCGCCCCCTGGGCTCTTTACTGCCGGAGCTCCGCTCCCGTGCGCTCCTGCAGGAAATGACCCCTGAAGGTACTACTCTTGAGTGCTCTTCTAAGGGTTTTTTTTGCCCTGCGGAAGTGCAATGGGCCAGTCATGGGGATGCTTTTGGAAGATTCACCATGACCTCGGTGGTATAGAGGAAGGGGAAATGGTGCCAGTGTGGCCTTCCCAACTGAGTCCGAAAACCCACTTTGACTGCAGTCTTTCTGAAAATATCGTACCCAGCGGGTTGGACCAAAGCAGGGGAAGCAAATGATTGGAGGACGATGTCATGTGGATATTCCTCTGCAGACCAAGGCCTCCAACAAAGCAAAGCACCCCTGCGGAAGGGAGAGTCCCCCCCCCCTCTTTCTTATATCCCCAGAAATGTGTCCTTCAAAAACTTGTTTCCTTTCTTTTGGATAGATCCTCAAAAACGTCTTTCTGGTCTGCTGTGGGACTTTTGGGTTTGCTTCAGTACTCTCTGAGCTGCCTCTGTCAGGGCCTAAATGGTGTGCTGAAAATGCAAGGTGAATAATCGATATGCTGCACAGAGCAGGACCTTTGAGTGAGGATGAGGAGACGAGGTGGATGGATGGTGTGGCAGCTACCCTGCCAAAAATCATAATTAAAGGGGGAGATTGGGTGGGGACACAGCAAAATTGATAGGGGGCACTGCCTGCGCTGCCCCTATGCTTGTTACGGCCCTGCCTATGAATTAATGTCCTCCAAAACATCCTGTCGTTAACAGCCTTGCTCAGGTCTTGCAAACTGAGGGCCCTTGTGGCTTCCTCGATTGAGTGAATCTACCTCCAGTTGGGTCTTCATCTTTTCCTGCTGCCTTCAACTTTTCCTAGCATTAGTCTTTTCCAGTTACTCCTCTCATAATGTGACCTATGGACGATAGCCTCAGTTTAGTCAGTTTAGCTTGATTTGATCTAGAACCCAGTTATTTGTCTTTTTGGTAGTCCACAGTATCTGTGAGATTCTCCTCCAACACCACATTTCAAAGTTAAATTAATTACACTAATTTAATTAATTAATACACAAACACAGAGGTGCAAGTTGCATAGAAGATGTTAGAATACCTCTCTTCACAGGGGGGGGGAAT